CAGTATTAATTGGAAAAAATTGGAAATTTTTTCTATTTTGTGCAAGTTTATAATTGTAGTCTACAACATTTCAGAGGGGAATAGTACTCTTTTTTTTACTCCACTACATTTGTGTGAAACTTTTGGTGGAATTAATTCAGTAATTTCAGTATTTTTTTTTAAAGCAAAAATGCCAAATATTTTCTATTTCTAGCTTTTGAAATGTGAAGATTTAATGCTTTTCTATGTCATAGTATATGATTGTAAACTAAATTTGGATTGTTGTTTGAGTGAAAAAGCAATTTGAAGATAACAGCTTTGGGCCTGAGAAACTAGAAGTGTTTTTCACTACTTTCTCACATTTTGTAGACAAAAATAATTGAATTATCGAGAGATTAACGTACAGATTAATATATAATTAATTCATAATGAGCATCTTTTCACTGCAAAATGCCAAAATGATGAATTCCTTGAAAATAACCAACAGATACATTGCTAATGAAAATAATTTATTTTCAGTCTTACTATATTGAAAACCATGATTAAAATTATAAATTCAGGGTGAGAAAAAATAAGGACCTCTGATGTGTCTTTCAGACACCCTCTTTTCCCCCTTAATAATTTTTTGTACAGTCAGTAATAAACCTGGAATATTTTCTTTGTTTGGCTGCTTTGACTGCCAGAACAATGCATTAGCTGACACCTAACATGCTCCACCTTCCTGCAGCAATGTGTTAAATAACTTTCTGAACTTTATTTGTGGCTCATGTAAACAAATCAATAAACAAAATAAAGCTTTTGTAGTGTGTAATTTGTGCATTACAATGTCAATTATTAATCCTTTAAACAAAAAGATTTAACCAGCCCACAATGCTAGTGCAGCAATTAAAAAACAGCTCATTAGTCAGGAAGGAGGTATCATAATAAGTACAGGTTTTGGCACTTAAGTGGCAACACTGGGTCTTTTTGTTTCACTAAACATGAATCTTAAATTCCTCTAATCTTTTTCTTGTTGTCGTTCACCCTCAGGAAATGCGGGGATTAACAGGGCAAGGGGAATTCTGGCCACAGGTGGATTAAAGTTGTCCCAGAATAGTGATCTTGTGATGTAGACCTTGACCTGCAGGTAATCCAAATTAGACAGAACTGTAATTGGACACAATTGTGGCTTCCACATGAATATGTCAAAAAGGGAATTATAAACAGTAGATTCATACAGTGCACAACCTGTTTTGCCCTGAACTACACAAGGTCCCATATAAGAAAAGATGGCTTCACATCCTGTACAACATTTTACATCCTTTACCCTTACACCCTGGATTTAGGAGACGAAAAATGAGAAACCCCTAGAGGAGCGACCGAGGAGGGGTCCCTCTTCCAGGATGACACAAATATGCAATACATGTGTATGTATGAATAGAAAGAAGTAGAAAATGAATTAGAGATTTTTGTTCTTTTTCCTGAATACATTTTGAATGAGAAACAAAATAGGAAAATGCTGCAGTTCTGTGACTATACATTTAATACATCTTAAATTACAGCACACCATTCACAAATGTTATTAAGATGGTTATGAAGATTAATCTTCTGGTAAACTACAAGATAATATTGTTTTGATTCTCAGCTGCTATTTGAATCAATCATATATAGAGCACAACTATATCTTCAAATCTAGTGGAACAAGAACAGAATGAATAATGAAATTAGAAAGTCTGCGGGAAGCCTGGGATACATACACCGAGCCTGACCTTCCTCATCAGCAAGTAACTGTGACCTACAAAACTAGTGCGCTTTGATGTGCTGGCCTTGTCCTGAGTAATGAAAGTGGGCAGACAGGATGGGCACAGTGGGCCAAGGCAGAGATTAGGTGGTGTTTTGTTAGCAGTTCTAGCACTGGAGCCCAGTGTGCAGCCATGACGCTTGTTGTGTTTGCAGAGACACCCAGTTGGGTTAGCTTGATAAAGTGGAAGTAAATTGAAAGAGCAACCCAAAGCAGTGTGACTGGGCAAGGACAAAAGGTGAGACGAGTGGCTACTATAGTACCATTGGACAGAGAGTGATGGGTTGAAAGGGAGAAAATGAAATTTATAATTCCATTTCATTTAAAGTTACCTCTCTGGCTATTGTCAGTACATTCAGTCTTTCCCAGGAACAGATCCCATAAAAACAGTAATCCAGACCTTTACACATAACGAAGAAGACAAACACACATCCACTCACACACAGAAGTCCCCATTCCTTAAGTCACTGCAGCCCTTGATTTCTCTTTTTAGTTCTATGTTGTCAGTAAAAACATGTGAGATACCTTATACAGTGGCCACCAGTGTGAACATGTTATAAGTAAAATTATTTGCTCAACAACAGTCACAATCATGTGTTCCCTTGCATGGCTGGATTACCCATCAGGCAAAGTGAGCAACTGTCCTATGTTTGGGAATATGCAACACTAAGCCACAATATTAGTTAAAATGATGAAGAACTTTAAGGCAGGTTCATCACCGGTCTTATCTATCAGGTGTTGTAATTAGACACATGACAGAATGTTGAATTTCTTAAATTTGGGTAATTTATACATTTCACTCATTTTAACAATCCATTTCATTGCCTTGCAACACATTCAAAGTATGACTGCATGACTGCACAAGTTAATAATAATGTCTCATAATGTATGTCTGCTGGGTGGAGAAACTCCCTGTGCAGTGTTAGCAAGTCCAATATTAACACACCCAGTTCCACAACCTTTTCAGATTTCAGGCAAAACCATGTTTTCCATCTGTATAAATATTACAGCGTCGGCTATGTGACTGCGATCTGTGTGTTCATGTGTGTTTGATATTCCATAGCTCAAGTGTAAAAACATTACAGTAATAAAAACGTATAGATTCTCTGATGTATTCTCAAACTCTTGTTTAAACATCTACTTGAATGCTAATATATTTTTAAGAAGTCAGTGAGTCAGTTGATACAAACTCATGCAGTGTGGCCAACCCACTGTTCAAAACAACACAACCTTATTTTAAATTCTGGTAGGCATCCCATTGTTTCCAAAGATACCAAATATGACTTTTTTATTGTGGTAAATGTGTATAAAATGATGCGCAAGACATTTTTAATATATCCACTAGACAGAATGAAGAAATGAAGAGTTTTCAGAAGCCGATACAGAAGACACTGTGGACTAAGATGTGTCTACTTAAGGGGAAGTAAAAGAGGAAAACTGTATGTTAAGGGAAGTTTTAAAAACTCCGAGGGCCACAGGAAGAGCAGGTTTTGTGTAATTCCATGGTTCAGCTGTAGAGCTGAACTGACCTGCAGCCAGCTCCATTTGCTGATACATCTACTATTTATTAAATCATAAAAATGAAAATTTTAGAAAATAAAAATCTTAATTTTTACTGCTACTAGTAAACTTAAGAATAAAAACCATTTATTCAACTTCTTTTGACTTAAAAACTCTTAAGCTGGTTAAGGGTGGATCCTCGATGACTGCAGTACAAAAAAATATTTGTCTACCAAAAGCAGAATTTTATATGTTCTTGCAAAAAAAAAACACTGAATAAGATTATGTGTTTCTGCAAAAAAAAAGTAATTGTTATTCTCTCAAATAATGGAGTCACCTTTAAGAGTCCAGTATTGGTCAGGCTATATTCAGCAGTGACATTTTGTTAACACTGTGAAGGCACTATGTTTACTCTATTTATTATTAACTCTGATGTCATATAGTATTGCTGTTGCATCAGACAGGAGTATTTTGAACTGAGTCTCTCATTGTTGGGATTTATGTGCATTTACATGCATGATGTCACAGAATTTCATCATACACAGGCCAGATTTTGGTGGTGGAACGTAACTAAGTACATTTGCTCAACTACTTTATGTTTCCAGCTTCTCAGATGTGAGCATTTGTGACTTGTACTTTTCATATTTGAATGAATTTTAATTAATATTTGATAACTTTGAGGTTTGGAATATGAGTTGGACAAAGTAGGCTTTGTGACACCATGTCTCTCGGCTCTGGGTAATTGAGATGGCATTTCTCATCATTTTCTGAATTATTACAAATTAAACTATTAATTGATTAATCGAGAAAATCAGGAGACTAATCCATGAAGAAAATAATCCTTAGTTGCAGCCTTATATAAAATAGTTAATAATGAGCTTCCAACTACAACAGTAAAATCTTGCTTTACACAGTTACACACAATAATAACAATCGATAATATATTATTATTATTATATGATAATAATCTTGTGATGTATTAGCCAATATAAAAGTACAACACTGGGGTAATTTTTACTTTTAATATTTCGAGTACATTTTACTCATTATGAGTAACATTTTCAGCATAAGACTTTTGCTTGCAATGTGGTATTTTTACAGTGTGGTATTAGTATTATTACTTTTTAAGTAAAAGATCTGAGCGCTTCTTGCATCACAGGCCAGATTTTGGAGGAGATTTTGCATGGTGAGGCCTCAGTCAGTGGGTGACACAAGAATAAAATGTTGAAAATCACATTGTTTGGACACCACCACTGACCCTTCAGCATGCTCAGGTCACTGGGTGCATATACACATGAAAGAAATCGTTTAGTTTTTCCCTCCTGCTCTTTTAATCTGCAGGGACAAAGCAAGAGCGGATATAGAATAGAAGCTGGAGCCAGGTCCCATACATAGCTTTCACAGTAGGGGGGGTGGGGGGGACGCTGACGCTGACTGTCCATTTATGGTCATTTCTACTACGGGAAAACACACACACACACACACACACACACACACACACACACACACACACAGCACGCGTTGTTTTGCGCGCATTCACATGTTAGTTTCATCTTTTTCTTTGTCGTCCAAGCTCTCTTTTATATTGACTACTGTATATATTACTACAGCCTTATCAGAAACCTAAAGACTCATCCCTCCATTCATGAGTGGAGAGCTCCACCTCCGCTTGCGTCAGTTTGTTTATACACATCCCCGCCCCTCGCGGCTGATAAAACTCCGCACACACGCGCGACCGAGCGGGATATTTCATCAGCGACGACGGCAACAGCTTTCCTGTCTTTTTGTCTGTCTCCTTTCACTATTGTCAACAAGAAGACTATAAAGGTAATTCACCTTATCTTTCATTGATACAAAAAATAATTTTCTTTATCTATGTCGTGTTGTAACGAAAGCTTTTTCCGGTTGTAACGTTTACTCACCTGGTCGTAGAAAGTGGACTGATGCAATCCTCCTCGTGTGTTGTCAGTTGTGTTGGCGCAATATATTTTTAAAAGAACATAACGTCCCTCATGTTTACTTGGTGTTTTATGGTAAAAGATAAAATAAGAATGTATCTATCGGAACGTTTTACTCACATTTTCCGTTTATTCGGTGTAGTTGACTGAGGCGACTTAATTTGTCTTTTGAGCGGGGAATCAGCTGATGTAGTCGACCGCGCACACGGAAATAAATAGTAGAAACGGGTAACTTAATGAGAGGTGGCCATTATGGGAAAACGTTTAAACCATTTTCTTATTTTTTTTTAACACATGATGGACATGTTCCGTGTTATCACCGGAGGTTTCCATTCATTGTTTTGATCCTAGCCGGCTAGCACAAGGAGAGCTACCAAGGCGTGGGATGACCGTAGTGCTGCTTTCAAAGACCTCCGTAAAACGCCATTAATTATAATAGTTAAATTAATTTTCCTCAAGCAAAATAGCGTGTTTCAAAAGAAATTGATTTAATTGCATGTATTAATTGTGCATGTGTTCATATCAAGCACACACATAAGTACTCTGCAACTGAAAAGTGTGATGCAGTAAAACCCGCAGCAGTAGGTTAACTACTACGAGTGTGTGTGGTATTTAAAGCTACAACACTAACTACTGGTGCAACATTAGGTTTAAATACAGCCATATCATCATCATCATCTATTGACATTGTTCATAATGTAAGCAGTAGAAAATACTGATGACTGTCGCTTGTTTATGTCACGACACACAATTGGTGATTACATTTTTCCGATAAATCTGAAGGCAACATTAGCACCACGCGAGAGCCGATCGGAGCCACGTAGCTGGCTGGTGTGGTAGTCCCTGACAGATAGACAGCTGAGCATCACCCAGTACGGTTGACACTGCTTGTGAGTAAGGATATTTCTTCAACTGTCGATTAATTTAACTTTTATATTAACCTTGACTTCCAACAACCGCGGCGGTCGTCAAAGTGAGTCATCCTTCCGGGTAATGTCCACTAGCATGCTGTGCGTTCAGGGTGTCACCCATGCTTCAGTTGCATCAGCCGGTTGAACGCTTATTCCACAATTTAAAAAATGCAGTGAAATTCTCGTGGGTAACACAAAAGTAGATATACGGAGTGTGCAATGTGCCTTAAACCTGCTAGCTGGAGTAGAAAGGTTGTTGGACTAACCAGGTAGACAAATGCCACGTTAGTTACTTTCTTAAATCCTGGCTTGCATTGCAGTAATTACAACCCAGGTCGACAGAGGACAAAACCTGAACTGTGAAGCTAGGTTCGTCAAGTTTTGTCTTTGGCTGTTACAGCCAGAAATTGTTAATGTCTTTACTATTGACAAGTTGGACAAGAGCAGCAGACTCAGATTCTCCGTGGTATTTACATTTTGCACACGTTAAAACACACTCAGAGGGGAGTGCACATATACGCCCAGTTGCCAGGTTTTCAGGTACAAAAAATTATAATTATACAATCTTATACAAAAACCCTGCAATAAATCCTGTCTTTATGGTTGGAGGTTGTAATAGTAGTTTTTGAGAGGTGTTCATTCGACTTTATGGTAATTTTAATACAGTTGAAATCTGTTGCTTTATTCATAGAGCTGCAACAGCCGGTCTATTAATTGCTTAGTCAATTGACAGAACAAAATCTGCAACTATTTTGATAACTGAATAATCAAATTTTATTAATTTACTAAGAAAAATGGCAAATATGTCTTCGCTGAAGCATTCTTCACACATAATAGACTGAATACCTTTTGAGTTTTAGACTGTTGCACAGAAAAAAAATCTGTGAATTGTAGTTTTACATTACATTATGTTGTATAGTCAAACAAATACTCCAGGAAATACATGGCCAATTAATTCTCTAAATATTGTGACCATTACACCAGAAATACAATTAACCAGGAGTAGTGTCAGTTTCATAGCATGAATAGTATCAACTATTTTTAATTGATTTGTCCTCAGTACATTATTGCATCAGCTATAACCAAGGGGATGAATCTGCCTTAATAACATAATGTTTTATAGGTGGAGGAGGAGGAGGAGGTCTCTTATACTGAAATTGTAACATCCTCTTGAATATTCCCATCTATTTGAATTACTGATAGGGATTGCAGACCATTTCTTGTTAGTAAACAGAAATTTTGTGTGTGTCAGAACAGGAGGAATGTGCAGCAAACCCTTAATCACCACTCTACATCTTAGGGCTGATATGGTCATGGTACATTTTCGCACGGACCGTCATAGATTTTTGGGAGTGGCATATGTGGCAACCTGGTTTCAAATTAGTCACTCTTTCAAATTAGAGTGTAATAGCTTGACATAATTACATTGTGTAATTAAATAATTTCAAGTAAAACTGATACCAAGTTTTTCTGCATATGTGGCTTCATCTTTTCTGACCTTTGTTATGGTGATACTTGTATGTACACCAAGACAAAGCTGATGACTGGTTGTCCTTCTTCATATAATGTATACCTCTGTTCTGGTAGCTGTTGCTGTTAGTGTTACAGTAGTGTTGGCATTGGTCATGGGAAAGTGAGCAGATTCTTAGTTTGTCACATTCCATTTCACAGCGAGAGCAGTTTCTTGGCAAGAGCAGTGGCATCCGGCCAGGTGACTTAAAGGGTCGTTCGGTTCGATCACAGTGGTCGGTCTGCCCACTCATACTTGCGCACAAGTTCATACACGTACATTAACAAAACACACACAGCGTCAGTGTGAACTGCAGTAGTCTTTAAACATACAAACACATATTTATGACTCACAAAGCTTACTGTTCATAACTGAAAAAACCCAGAAAACCATTATGTTCTCTCTTTATGGCGAGACATGATACAGTGTTCCTTGCAGAATAATGCAAGGTTACATTTACACCTTTCAACAGTTACATTATTAATATTAGGGATAAGCAGATAAAGGCTTTCAGTGAATTTTCCACGCACTTTAAATTTCCACGCACCTTTGGACACAACAAACAATAACATACAAAATTCCTTTTGGGTAGGGGCATATTTGGATTTGCATATTTATTTTGGTACACACAAATATATATGCATAAATGCTATATACACGTAAATATTTAAACATATCTATATATGGGAAAATATTTGTTGCAGTGCACAGCCAGGTGAGTTGAGGTCAGTTAGGATCATCCTTATTTAAGGGAAGAGTTTCAGTTTTTACTCTTGAAACAAAAGTTGATTCCGTCTGGGATAAACAGCAGCAGGTACAAAAATTCCTTTGTACCTCACATCAATACATTTAAGAATAATATCAGGATTTTTTTTTTTTTTGCAGAATTTTAATAATAATTCCAGTTTCCATTTAGCGATGGATAATTAGAGATTTGACAGTGACCTATAGGAAATATAATGTCACTGGTCTGTTTATAGAACATGAGAGCTGCATTGTTGTTGTTGTGGTTGTTGTCAACAGTGGCAGTCAAAACAAACCCATGTGTTTATATGTACAGAACAAGAAGCAGCACCAAGCTATAATGAGGTTAGCAGGTTTGTTACTTCTCCAAATAATCCTCTTAGAGTCTATGGCAGCAGTTGGGAGCAATGCTAAGTCAAGCAGCAGGACCATTATCCCTGAAGCCTGTTGTAACCAGTGCACTTTTTGGCCCAAGTTGTTGGTCATAGTCCTCTAAAATAAAGAGCTCTTTAGTTAGTTCCATGTTTAAAGTTTGAATATACTCTGGTTGTGTTGTTGGTAAAGATGATAAAGTAAGAGACAGCAAACAGAAATCAACTTATCTCCCTTTTTTACACTTGACATTTCCTTCCTATTTAAAGTTGTGCATTCATTTTTAATAACAGGAACAGAAAATGGCTGCAGGTAGTGCACTAGTCCTTTCATGTGGGTTGTGTGTAGTTACGTAGTGGAGTTTGCAGACGGCACACTTGTGAGCTACACCTCTGCAAAAGGAGCACCCGCGTGAAAACCACAAGGAAAAGATTAGCAAGCAGTTGACGTGACAGAGACATCGACTGACGTTAAGGTGGCTCTAGCATCGCTTTAATGAGACCACCCTTAAGTGAGGTCATACAGCAATCTGGTCTGCATTTTTCTAACTTTAAGTTGGGAACTGTGCCACAACTAGGAAAGAAAGAGAATCTTATTTTGAAAAAAAAATTCCCATAGACATTTTCCAGAAAAATGAATGTTCCTTTACATCTTTAGTTAAGAATAGACCTAACGTTTAGTCCTTTACTTGCACAGTTTCAGTTGCACTTTTGTCCTACTTGATGAATGTATGTGCGGTGTTGGGCGAACCCCTGAGGAGATCACAGCCAGCTGGGCACAGTAGTTTAGTAATAAATGTTTATTGACACGACATTGACACTCTCAGATCTCAGTTCCTGGTGTGCAAGTGGAAAATGCTACTGGAATGTCACACCAAGTGGGGAGCGGGAGCATTTCCACCATGTACCAGTTTCCCATCAGTCTTCAGAGGACTAAATGTTTATTGTTGCAGTTGTCGAGTGCTCTGTGTTGTTTTTATTTCATTGTTTGACAGTGTTTGTCTTCTTCTTTCAACACTTAACTGTACTAGGCAGGATATTCTCTTTTGAAATGCTAAGACTAGAAGTGCTTTGATAAATAGGTTATGTTGCCTTTATGGTATTAATAGAATATTGTTATTGTACTGAAACATTGTGAGCGCTTGTATCCTGTGTGCTATGAAAAAGAACAGTCCAAAATGAGACCATAACATAATGTACAGCTGAATGACTTTTTTCCTCGTTTTTTTTAAGTTGCCTGAAATACTCTGTGACCTGAAACTTTGTATAAACTGAACTTGTGAACCTTTTGCTTCAAGGTTGTGGTGTTAGATGTTTCTTTGCTATTCTCTTTTACAAACGAGGAAGCTTCAGCAATACAAGCTGGTTAGTAACCCAAAACAGCCACTTTGTATTTTGCATATCACTCACTGTGCATGTTGTCTTTTGATAAACCTTATTTTTTTAGTAATCTTGGTTTTCCACACACTGTTGTGTGCTGTATCCAATTTTACTACAGTTTCCATTCAGTACTTTTCATCTCTTAAACCTGATTCCAGCTCCATCTTTCACCACCGTCTGTAAGTACCTCGATCTGGAATTGGTGTCACCTCCCTGAGCAGGGATGAAATTTAATTTTTCTAACGAGAAACACAATAGAAGGCTAACAAAAGCTGAACTGGTGATAACTGCTTCATGTTAAATTATGCTTCATTAAATCCCTGAAATGGAAAAGGGATATTGTCATGTTCTGCTTGAAGCAGTACTTTTAACTTTGGCTTTAACTAGACACAAGGATGGAGAAAAACAGCACAACAGAAAACAGGCACTGTGAAAAGCAAAAGTAGTCTTGCAAACGATACTCTTTACCCCCTCATCTTTAGTTTCCCACTTGTAATAAGTTTGAAAGGCCATTTTTCCCCAACCTCTGATCCAAGTAGACAGCCACACTCGCACATCCACACAGTCGGCCTGGTCTGTGTTGGTGGTTTAGTGTTTCACATCTTCTCTTTGCTACCTGACTGGTGAAGTGACTGATAGGCCTGAAATGTCCGTCTGCCTTCTCAGCATTCACACCAAGGAATCGGGTGTCATTGCATTAATAGCCCCAGACACGGTGCAACATTGCCTTAGACTCCGCCCCAAATCCTGACCTCAAGCCTCCCGGCAAAGTTAATCCTTTGCACTGAGTTTCAAGAGGAATACAACTTCATGTTGATATAAATTCAGGGTACTGAATGTTTTCTCATAATGTAGTGAGGCATAAGAATAGAGATGAATGTTTGGGGTTTTTTTTTTTTCTAAAAATTGCTCCAAAGTGTTAGTTTGAGGATTGAAGACATAACTACTAGTCGTTCTGAGTTAAATCTTTTGATTGCTAAGAAGCTGATTCTTATGTATTTTCAACTTTGCAGGATAGTGGACTTATTTTATGACACACGATTGTAAGTCAACCATTGTCATGGTCTATTTACCTAAACTGTTGGTTTAGTTATGGTTAGTCATGACAATGGTAGTGTAGTAGTAATAAAACTAGTGTAGCATTTGCAGATAAGCTACACTTGCCTCGCCCTTGACATTACAAGCATGGCTTTGCCTGCATGTACTAACAAGTGTATTACCTCAAATAACAATCAATTGCAACATTACCTTACATTACAAAGCTTTGCACTGTAGCTTTTCAGACAACTGAAAGTCCAAAAGTTATGAAGTCAACTTTATTTAGTAACATTTTAAACCTAATTTTAATCCTCCCTTAAAAAACAAACCCAAATATATCAATGACATTAGCATGACAAGTTCTGGCTCCTGCTTTCTGTCAGAAGTGACTTACTCTGAAAAGTTAATTGTTTATAAAACTAGGTTTACAGTACATAAAGAGGTGTACACGGTCTATTTTCATGGGTGTTAATCTCAGCAGGAGCAGCTGCATAACAGACGAAGTTGCGTCAAAATCTTGGTTTAGCATTTCATGATGGTAGAGTAAACCCACTGGCCTGACCTGTTTAAATGCCAGGATTTTTGTAGTCACACCCCACAGTTTGAAGTAAAAAAAGAAAAAAAAAAAAGAAGAAATCTTATGTAACGGTTTGCAGATTAAAATTTTCCATATTACCTCTACAAATCCAAATGTGGAAGTATTAATGGATAGTTTAATATCATAGAGCCAATTGCTTAAAATAACTTGGTCACTTTGACTGGTCCACATTTTATGCCTCTCTGGTTGTGCTGTGGTTCATTAAGCTGTGGCCTTTTGCCGTCACATTGCACCATCATTCGATACACACTCTCCATCCAGGAACCTAAACCTCCAACGTCAGATAGAAAAACAGTGTATCTGTCAGGTCAGATTTGCTTTACTATGTGTCCTTGGCCTAGTATGACCTGTTCTCATGTGTCTATATGTTTGTGCACATGTGTTTTGCAGAAACTGATGTAATCATTATCATTTAAACCTTTGCTGAACTTGACAAGCTCATGACTATTGACGTAAATCACGTTGCTGTCGTCCTTGAGGATGGTTTTGTCTGTGTGTTCTCTAAACCTGCGGCTTCAGATCATTGACAATGAATTGATCAATAATCATTGGAACTATGTACTGCATTTTGATTAAGCAACAGTGACGATTAACACATCAACACAAGTTAATGCTACTTCGGGGAGAAATAGTTGGTTATTTGACATGTTGTAGTTTTTATACAGGGTAAGGGTCAGTTTTATTTTATCTGTATATCAACCTTCTCCCAGTGCAGCTGGTTCACTTTATCGAGCTGCTGGTTCATGCTGTCCCCATCTCCCCTTGTTGATATTAGTTTGCAGAATTCAATCATATCGTCTCTTCACAGCCTCTGACTTTCCCAGGCTTCTCTCTGTCAGCCTGTATTTGCTAAAAAAGCAAAACAGTTTGTAGAGTGCCCTCTCTCGCAGTAAGGGAGTGGTTGGGAATTAGGCTAGGTGTTCTTTTGTTTTTATAGGGTTGTGCATTTTGACAAGTTTATTTGTCAAGGCAAAATTAAGATTAGATTCAAGCCTGGTAGAATAGCTTTAGGCTTTCTTTCCTCATGGGGTCTCTCTGTGCCCCACTGCGTGTCATGATGTGTTACCAGGCTGTAAGAGGGTGAGGTATGAATTCCTGGAAGTTGTGTAACTGGTATTTATACAGGTTCTCATGTAGTGAAATACGTTTTTTTTATTTATTTTTTTTTATTGTCTCTCCAAACCTGCCAACTGATTGATTCTCTTTTTTGGTGAAGAGGAGAACAATATTCCAGGAAAGTTTCCAACATCTCTGGTGCCACCTGTGTTCACGTGAAATGTATCTAAAACCTGCTGAGACATTGTATGTGATATCAGACTACACAAATAAACTCTACAACTTATGCTACAAAGTTGTAGAGTTTATTTGTACAGCCCAGGTCGCAGAGAACACGTCCTACAGTTTACGATTTCTGTGAGCATTTCAGTGTTTGTTTTTGTTTGTTCTTTAAATCCCTGCCACAGTTTCCCTGCAGTTTGAACACCTTTCCCTGGAAAAAGTTCACTGTTGGAAAGAAAGGACAGAATAATCTCTCTGTGCAGTGCCAAACACAGAGCTTTGAGAAATGTAAGCTTTGGCAATTACTGAATAGTTCTCTGTTTTGAGGCCTTGTTTTCTTGTTTCTTCACAGGTCCTAATCTGCTGCTACAAAATACTGTGACCAAAGACCTTCCACTTCCTGTTCTGTCTGCTTGAGTAAACCTAAGTGTGAACACACCTACACCAGTGGAACAATAATAAACAAGTACTTGGTTTACTTGGTCTATTCACACCTGTTCTGATTAAGCTGTGTCATTCACACACCCACACTAGAAGGATTTAAAACACATAGCCTGCTTCAGCGCCCACACACAGTCACAGCAAATATGGCCAGCAGGCTGTCCAACTTTGGCAAAACTCTGCTACGTCGCCGGGCATTAGACTGCTCTGGTGAAGAGACCAGATTCGCCCGCTGCCTGTCCACCCTGGACCTAATTGCCTTGGGGGTGGGCTCCACACTTGGTGCCGGTGTCTACGTTCTCGCTGGCGAGGTCGCCCGAGAGAAGGCAGGACCCGCTATTGTCCTCTGCTTCCTCATTGCCGCGCTCTCCTCTATGTTGGCCGGCCTGTGCTATGCTGAATTTGGCGCCCGTGTCCCCAAGACAGGTTCTGCATACCTTTACAGCTATGTAACTGTTGGAGAAATCTGGGCCTTCATCACAGGATGGAATCTCATCCTCTCCTATGTGATAGGTGAGCTTTTCTAAAGTGTCAGTTGAGGTATTGCAGTACTTTTCATGTAGCAACAGAAATGATCCGTTTAATACAGTTTTAACTGTGCTAACATCCCCAGTAAGAATAAAGAGAACAATGGAAAGGACGAGTCATATCCGGTCACCACATTGTTGACACACCTTCGTTTCTGTCCTTTCTTTTTAGGTACGGCCAGTGTGGCCAGGGCATGGAGCTCAACCTTTGACAGCCTGGTTGAACAAAAGATCTCTGGCTTCTTTAAAGCCTCCATGGCAATGAAGGTGCCTGGGGGCGTGCTGGCAGAGTACCCCGACCTATTTGCCCTCATCCTGGTCCTCCTGCTCACTGGTGAGTTATCCCCTGTCTTCTTCAGTGATTCCCAAACCTGGTGGATATAACATGATTAATACAAAGGAAAAGAGAGATTTTAAAAGATGTATTTCTTATTCAGAAATCTTTTTTTTTTTGGTTTACCTGCTCCCTCCTCACAGACAAATGTACCCTGTGACAATGTGACAAAGGGTTGGTAAACTCACATTGCTTAGCTTTAATTAGTCATAAGCCAAAAAGGTTGGGAACCACTGATTTGATTGCTGTGAATAGAAACCCAGTGAAACTGCCTAAATTAAATCCTCTTATATAAAAACTGGGGCATCAGATTGATTATTGCAGTCCATGCAAACGTAGCCATTGTTGGCATATCATTAAAAAAAACTTTGCATATCAGCCTGAACAGTTGTCACACTAAAGCTGCAGCTAGTGTGGGATGCCAACAGCAGTGTTAGGAGGAAATAATTGATGGATTGGTGTCGCTGACTGATGGTATGTTGGAAGTGATGAAGTACGAAAACATCCACCCACATAGCAGGACATGTTGTTATTGGAGATGAAATGTGAATTCTCTCTTCCTCTCCTCTTGAACTTCCTGCCTGCAGGACTTCTGGCGTTTGGCGTGAGCGAGTCAGCGCTGGTGAATAAGATCTTCACAGGCATCAACCTGGTGGTTCTCGGCTTCGTCATCATCTCTGGCTTTGTGAAGGGGGACGCAGCCAACTGGAATCTGACGGAAGACGACTACATCGGCTTTAGAAACCGCACCAACAGCAGCAAGCCGTTTCCGTCAGTATTTAAAATCAAAGTTTTACTCCTTCTTCTGTGTTTGATTGTTATTCTTGGCCATGAAACAAACTGCGTGTCTCTTCTTCTGCCACTTCAGAGTTGAGGAGGAATTTGGCGAGGGTGGTTTTGCTCCATTTGGCCTCACTGGAGTTCTGTCTGGTGCTGCCACCTGCTTCTATGCGTTTGTGGGCTTTGACTGCATTGCCACAACAAGTGAGTTTTTTTTAATATATATTTTCATGAGAAACAAAAGTGTCAATATAAACAGTGGACAGACAGTAAAATTCTTGCCTAGGTATTTCTGGTTGCTTCCCACTCTTTGTTGTTTGTGAACAAAAAAAACTGACACCTGTGTAGATCATTATGATAAACGATATCTAAACGAGTCTTTTTTTGTACATGATCGTGGCCTTTAAGATTATGTTGAATCACACGCATGCAGAAAATCAGGATGTTCGGTTGTTTTTTGTGGTTTATTGATTAATTGTATGTTGCTGAGCTTTTTGTGTGACACCTATTGTCAGTGGGAATGTTTCCACAAATACTTGCACACATGGGCACAAATGTTTGGATAGCACACACAAGAGTCAAAACTGCTTTTGATTATGGGTTCTCATTAAGTATTACGTAAATCGAGCAGGGGTATTTCCACATCATATTTGAACAGTGCTGGGCTGACGCAGCACCTGTTGTCCATATTGAATGGCCATGTTACGTAGCCTGAAGTGAGAGCGTGTCAAGACTCAATCTTTTTCAGGTGCTGTGAAAACTGCAATGCATTAATGTGATTTATGACCTTTGAACAAGTATAAAATCTTGGTTGTCTGACCATCAAGTAATCTTTTTTTTTTTTTTTCCTTCAGGCGAAGAAGCAAAGAACCCCATGCGATCCATACCTATTGGCATCGTGGCTTCATTGCTGATCTGTTTTTTCGCTTACTTTGGTGTGTCTGCCGCTCTGACCCTGATGATGCCATACTACGAGCTGAACACCCAGAGTCCTCTGCCTGAGGCCTTCAGCCACGTCGGCTGGGCTCCCGCCAGATACATCGTGGCTGTGGGCTCTCTCTGTGCTCTGTCCACCAGGTAAGGAAGGACATTTTTTCTTGTCATGATGTGTTCCTTTGCATATCAGAGTAAATCTAACACAAAAACTGTTGCTCTTGTCTCAGTCTCCTAGGCTCTATGTTTCCCATGCCTCGAGTTATCTACGCCATGGCTGAGGATGGGCTGCTGTTCCGTGTTCTGTCCAGGATGAACACTCGCACAAAGACCCCTCTCCTGGCTACCATCGCTTCTGGTATTGTTGCAGGTAAGCTCACATTTTTCTTTTTTGAGTGTGTTTATCTCTATCTTTCTGGTCATGCTTACTCACTGCTTTTGGCCGACAGACTGTTTTTGCTGTGTCTATCCCGTGCTGTCAAGTCTGTCGAGGGTGGTTGTTTATAGTTTTCCAGGGTCACAGCTCTGTCTCCTGCTTCAGCTCTCTCTGACAGCTCGTCCGTTCAAGATCAATAACACTTTACCCTTCAGAAAAAGTCTGTGAAAACCCCAGAAACTACCAATGTTTTGTTTTTTTTAGTCCACACTTTCATTGTGGGCAGTCTGAACTATTGAAGCATTACTTTCTTCCTCTTTCTGACTGTGAGACATGGGTTACACTATAAATTACAGAAAATCTGGTTTTATCTCTCCTTACAGCTCTCATGGCCTTCCTGTTTGACCTGGCTGCTCTGGTTGACCTCATGTCTATTGGAACTCTGCTAGCATACTCTTTAGTGGCCATCTGCGTCCTCATCCTCAGGTAAGCACTCTCCACCAACACAGCCCATCTAGCAGCTGCTGTACTAATGCCACTGCCAAGTACCAGTTCAAAAGCATAGTTATATCATAGTGTGTATGCAGCTAAAACACAAGGGATCACAGACGCTTCACACTAGCTCTCATTTTCATTAGTACTGGACTTAACTGGGCAAAAGAATGTTGCACAGAAATGTTTTATAAATTTTTATGAAAGCTCATATTTGTCCACAGCCAATGTTTCTAGCTATAGTGGTGATTTTTCAGTTAAGCCACTGTACATTTATTTTTAATTGACACACCTTCCTTCTTCCTTCACAGGTACCAGCCAGGCTCCCTGGCTTCGTCCAGCCAGATGGAGAAGCTGATGGAGCAGGTGGAGGGGGAGAAGGTGGCTGTAAGTGGAGTAGACAGCGGTGATGAGTACGGCATGGAGACGGAGGAGAGGCCACTCCGAGAGACCTTTACCGTCAAACTGCTCTTCTGCCCAAGTGGAAAAACCCCAACGCAGACATCTGGGAACATCGTTTACGCTACCACTGCTATTATTTGTAAGTATGTCATGGAGGAGGCTAAAGGTAGAGCTTGTGCTGACTCCTGTCAGCTAATGAGAATAAGACATATATATATATATATATATAGAGACACACACACACACACACACACACACACACACACACACTTGGAGCCAAAAGTCTACCCGACTTTTGGACCTGACTGTGTATATATATATTGATATGCAGCTGCAACTGGTATAACTAATTTTCTCTGCGCCTCTATTTGTAGCGGTTCTCATCACCATACTGTGCGTTATCCTGGCCAACTACCTGACAGAGCTGCTGTCCGGGCACGCAGGTGTCGTGGTGCCCTGTGTTATTTTGACTCTACTGTGTGTCGTCTGCCTCATCATCATCTGCAGGCAGCCTGAGAGCAAAGAGGCTCTCACCTTCAAGGTAACTGAAGCCCAGAGAGCACAAGCTTTTGCGTTGCAGAGAAGAGATTTCTTTGTTTTGTCTTTGTTTTGGGAAACTGCACTATTGCATCAGCAACTATGAGACTGATTTGGAAGAGAGGCTAAGATATCCACTTCTTATTTGCAATGTCATTTTGGCACACCATGTTCTCTCTCTCTGTCTCTGCTACCCAGAGAAGAACCAGGTCAAATTTGAAATATAATTATGCTGACTTTGTCTCTGTCCTCTCAAGGTCCCTCTTCTTCCCTGGTTGCCCCTCTTCAGTGTTTTCGTCAACATCTACCTCATGATGCAGCTGGACTGGGGTACATGGTGCCGCTTCACTGTTTGGATGATTATTGGTACGTTTGAACATAATTCTGTTTTCATTACTTGTGCTACACATTCATGCAACTGGTTAGTAACTTCCCATTGCCTCTCTCCTCACCTATAGGTTTTGCCATATACTTCTTGTATGGTATTAAGAACAGCAGTGAAGCTGCCAACAGGTCATCACCACGCAAATATGAGCCCGCCCTGCAGAGCAAGAGCCCGATTTACAAGGGCGCTCCTGACGACAGTGATGTGGAAGCAGGCAGCAGCCCCTGATACAGAGTGACTTAGACCTGGGAAATGTTGCAGAGCATCTACACTCATTTTGGCAGTGTAGGCAGCCTGGAACACAGGCCTGGGTTTAAAGGGAGGAGAGGCAAGAAAACGCCACACACATCTTACCTCTGATTTGGAGGCTGATTAACTTGATGGCTAGACACTGTGACAAAGCCATTTTTTGGCCCATGTGTCGGTTTTAATCTGTCTGTTTGTACTTAGCCTTAGCCCTCTGGAGATATTTACCTGCCTATAACACATGCTATCAATGGACCGAACTAACAGATTCATGAAGTTCTGTTTTGTTTTTTGTTATCTGAAGCCGTTAACTGGAAAACTGTTACTCTTGAGCTGTATTTCGTCAATGCTTCCTCTCTGTTATTATATCGGTGTGGCTGTGAGGAGCCACCCGGCCATTAGGGATGAATAAGTACTACTGTGTACATCACTAAAAAATTATGTCTTAAACCAGCGACTTTACAAAGGTCAAGACATTTGGATCAGTGAGCTAAACTTCAAGCTGTTTTAAGAAACATGATTATCATACGGACCAACACCACAAAGTGGCAGAGATAATGAGTTGCTTCTTGTGAAGTACAGTCGACATGTCTAGTTCATTTGTCTTTGTTTATTGCACCAGCCTGTTTGTTTGTGTGTCAACAGGGTAGCACTGAAGCTGTGTGGTTTACAGTGTCAGTCAGGGCCTCAGTGCAGTTAGGTCAGTAGCACATGGTTGATGTTGGCGTCGTCTACGTTGCGCAGTTCGGTGTCTAAGGCTGAAGTACATGCTTTGCAGATTGGACCAATTTTAAATACACTATTGCCCTTTTGCCCCCATGCTCCTAGAGAACAGCCATAAAGTATGCGTACAGTATAATCTTAAAATAGTATGAAATGAGTCTCTTTTAATTAATTATGTTATGTTTTTATCTCACATGTAGACTCTGCTGAAATGGTATTTGTGGCCTTTGTTTCAACCAGAACCAGGTTACTAAAAGGATTTTGTTGAGGCCAAAACAGGCAACAAACTACTTCCTGAGCCATAAAGCCTTGAAATCCATAAACTGAAGTAAATGCAGCAAATGAAATCTCATCTCTACTATACTGTCTGGTATTCACTGTATTGTAAACCCCATCCATCTGTTATTCCAAAACAGCCCTGCTGGACATGGAAATTTATATGTATGAATTTAAATCATCCATATAGTTTATTTGGTAATTCTGGATTTCATCCATATACTATCTGTCTATTTCAAATGCTTTTAATAGCTGTAGCCAGATATTTCTGCAGATCTGAGGATAGATTTATATTTAGGAGGTACATTAATTGCATTGTTTTCTTCTAATAGGTCAAGGAACAGGGTGTTTTAAAAAGAAAATCAGTTAATACACAATGACTAGTTTCTTCAACTGTCAAATCTACTTCAGTCTGGGAGCTGGGGGTTTGTTTCTAAACAAGGGTCTGTCATTCATCACCACTAAAATATCAACTGTATTTTTGTTTTACTTCCTTGTGAAAAGGCTAGGGGTTTTTTCACAAAGATTCTTGTTTAGTTTCAATTGAAACTTGTTCTTGGCAGCTTTGTCTGTTGAGCTCCCATCACTTTTATTTTTACTACTGTATTTACTTTTTCTGATAGAACTGTTAATATTTAAGTGTTTATAGTATTGTTTGTTTGGGATAGCTTTGTTTTTTGTTTCGCCTTTTTCATATCATCTCAATATTCGTATTAGCTATTCATGTATTTTAATCGTTAACTGTACAGGTTTTAGAGTTGTTGTTTTTTTTGGTCTTTTTGTCCTGTTGCTTCCACAATATTGTCTTTTTTTTCTCCTTTTTTTCTTTTTTTTTTCCTCCTTTGTTGCAAATGTTTTGGTTCACCAAATGATTGAATTGTAATATTTTCTTTCTTTCCTGACCAAATGAACAACGCTTTGGAAACAAATAATGACCACTTAAAGTTGGTCTCTAAATTGTGTAATTTTAAATGTTTTTACCCCCCAATCCTCTGGACTCATTATGTTAACTTATTGTTAATAGCAGTTTTTGTTTGTCTAGAAAAGTGCTTTACCGTAGAGTGTACAGTATTTGTTTAAAACTATATCTTTATTTGTATAATGCTGTAAATTATACAATGACTTTAAGTATAATTTGGTAAGAGGTGGTCTTTGTAAATTACACTTGAAGGCATTTCATTTGACACTTGATGCTGCTGAAATCCGAATTATACAAATCCAAGTCCCTTTTCAGATAAAAATGGTCCTGATGGAGGCAATATTGAAGCATTTCTGCATTAAAAAGATGAACCTAAACATCTTCACTATTGAGAAGTGCACTAAGGGAAGATTTGGATTCAGCCAGCGTTTCTAGATGATGTGAATCTACGATCTGGTGCCTATAAAACAAACTATTCTGCCTGAGAAAGGCACTGGGGCTGGTAAAATACCTGAGTCTGACTCTCAGGCTGTTTAAGCAAAGTTCATGAGCTACTCTCAAGACTTTCTCTGCAGATTTCAGTGTAAAACTGTCGTGTTTTCTTGAATGCCAGTCAATGATGAAGGGTGAATTTGTCATAACATTATGTGACGTGGCTGTGACTCATGCCGCACAGAGCTCTTTGTACACAGCCCTTGTGCCTTTCAAATATCAATGTGATCATCTCCCCAATCAATGCTTTCTCATTAACAGCAATGATCTATTTTTGTCTTTCTGTTTTATATCCTGTACATATGGCTGTCATGTATAAAATGAACTGTATTTTCAGTGTTTGTTTTTTTTTTTCTTTTTTTTTAATAAAACATGATTCATGCTTATGGTGTTTTATCCACCACATTTTTTTAAAGAAAGATGGCAGCATTTTCTCACTATGAGCTGAATGCCACAGGCTGTTGTAGACAACACCTTTACAGGTTTTGCAATGAGTCACCAGTGACGAACTAAATTATGTTAAGAATGTAATCTATGCAAGTTACAGCATGACTACCTTTGGGCTGTTTCACTATCTTTTCAACTTCCAGCAAATCCTGCAACCATGAGCCTAAAACTAATTAAATACTTACATTATTTCCTATACACATTTATCTGCATCCCATTTCTGTTTTATGTTGTCAATGAGTGGTTTTAAATTTAACATTTTTATGTTTTTTTTTCAGGAATAGGCCACAACTTTAACACCTAAAAATACAAAACTGTTTTATCAGGTGACTTTCCAATTGCATTTCTACAGAAGAGGAAGAGGGCCATGTGGGGAAAAAAATAAATTTTTTTTTAGAATTGTGACTTTCTAAAAAAAAACGTTTTTCCACATTAGGGCCACACGTGAATGTTTTTTTGTTGTTTTTGTTGTTTTTGTAGAATTCTGACTTTAAACTCGAAATTCTGAGATTAAAATCAGAATTCTAAAAAAATAAAAAATTCACATGTGGCCCTAATCCTCTTCCGTACATTTCCCTAAACACTTAAGAGCAATCTGTTTTTACTGAGCAGCACAACACTTCATCACTCATCTCACTCAAAATAATTAACATGTCTTGTAAAGAGGAAATACCTGCCTCCAAAATGACATCATTTTTTTAGTCAAGGCAGTCAAATGTCAAAAGAGCTGTATCAGAAGTGACAGAAGACATTGAAATGGTCTCAATTATCCTTTATAGCCAACTGTATAAACTGTGAAAACAGTGTGTTCACAGGTTTCTCACAGTCAGTGGTCACCATTCTTGCCCATATTCACAGTAAGAACCTTGTATGTAACAGTGGTGTAAAATGTAAAATACAAAAATAATGATACAGTAAAAACAAATGTCTCAATACAATAAATACATGTAAATTAGGAACTATTTACAAATCTGCCTTAATATGTCATTGGTGATCCAAAGCCTATCTGGTCACACCACATTGAAACTCATGTGATATTCAACCAAACAGTAAAACACACTCTGCACAAAAAGAAACAAAATATCAAAAACGTAAAACATGATATGTTTAAACAGCTCCCCACCCTTCTACTGTAAATTCTCCACCCAGTGCAGCCATCTAGTGGTTACACGGAGTATTACATCAATTGTTTAACTGCACTTATGACCTTTTGCTAAAGTTTAATGGTAAGACAAAAAGAGCAGTCCAGTCTTTGCACAAGGCAAATCTTTATTAATGTTTCCAGGCATTTATTATTGATGACACATTGAACAGTCAAATTTGTCAGGGTTTGGTTTTAAATAAATAATTTACAGGTTGTGTAATGTGATATCAATGTGTTTCCCACCACCTCACAGTTTAAATGTTAATATTCACAAGATAAATGCACAGTTGTAGCAATGGACAGGAAGCTGGCTGCATGTGCTTAGGCACCTTTCCTCCAAAAGGCACTCAAAAGAGACACTAACCCTCTGCAGTTAAAACAAATACTCACTCACTGCTGTTTCTAAACTGTTCAATGAATTAGTTAATAACATCATTCTGAGCTGAAATCTGTGCAACTGTCTAGTTCTAATATTCCTAATATGTTCACTTTTCAGGGTTAACATACACTGTCATGGTGCTTAAGATCATTTCACATCCCCAAGCAACAAATGAAACTTCATTCATTCTGCTCTCTCTGATCAGATTCCAAGTACCGAGCGAAACGGTTATTTACATTATATCAAAAATAAATGTTATTTTCTTTCTTTGGAAAATTTCAGTTAAAATGGAGGCATGCACTAATTATAAATATGGACACGATTGAATCTATAAATGGACTGCAGTGTGAGAAGAGCTGAAAGTGTGTAATATTTAAGAGCAGTCTCCATATTCAAATTCAGTTTTCAAAAATATGGAGTTCCAAAGTGTTCAATATTACACAAATAAATAAGTGATTATGAAGTAAATAATCACATGAATAAATTGTGTAAAATGTATAGGCTAAATTACACAAGTTTTTTTTTTCCAATTACAGTTTTATTTTATGTCTTTTTATTTCATAATGGCACTTTTCAGTCAATCATGGCCCCTGCTTCTCTTAAGTTAGCTTAGCAACTTCTACCAAATTTAGCCATTTAACACCTGTTAGCTACAACAATGTCAAAGTAATTCTAAATCAACTTTTGAGCCGCTACAGTAAAAAACAAAAACAAAACGACAACAACAACAAAAAACAGCATACAGACAAAGTAACATCAATTTAATTAGCTTGAAAAAGCTCTACATGGTTTCTACCTAGCTTGCTAACTAGCTAGGTGGGGTTTATGCTGTGTTCACATATCATTTAAACCATAATAATGAACAACTGAGCGTGACTTCTGAGTTGTAATTCCAAGGCAAAGGTAACCACAGAGCTAGAGCGAGCACAGACAGTCTGTGCTCGCTCTAGCTAAAAGGTGCTAACTAGCTAGATAACTGAATTAGGGAGCATGTAATTGACTGAAAGGTGAGGTATCTGCTTACAACACGTGAAGACATGAAATAAAACATCATTTGAAAGAAAAGAGAGAACATTCAGGACAAGAGGCACTGCCTTATGTCCCACCGTGATCTCCACGACAAAAGACCACATGCTCACAGTACTAATTGTCTGTCATCAGGGATGTTAACAGAGGTTTTACATTTGTGTATTTCACACAATTTATTCATATGATTATTCATTTCTAATATATTTATTGACTCTTGAACACACCGGGGTTTCATACAAAAGGCTTTAAGGTTATATATTACCTGTTCTCACCAGTAAACCAACACAAGTTAGTAAACATGAACTGGGTACCTAGCATAGTGATAAAACTCCTTGCTGTGAACTACCCATAATGGCTATCAGTGAGCAGCTACAGTGTGCTCTCCTTTCAGCAAACAGCAAATGTACCATTGAACGTTTACACTGTGCAAACTCTTTCTCCAGCATTCAAACAAACAAAATGCTAACTTTGGTTCAATTTGATTCACGTTCATTATCCTCCACTCTCTCATGTGTTAAGCCACTTGGATTCATAGTGCAGTACAATCAGTGAAGATCTCTTTCTGTCTCATCCCTCTTACTAGATATAGTCTGTACAAGGTTGCAGTATATTATGCATGAAAACAAAGTGGCATGGCTCAGTTTTGGCATCACTGATTCAGATTTAAATGAACATAAGCATAAGCATAAGCACGCTACGCTGACAGTCTCAGTCTTTCAGAGATGTGCAGCAAGAATATAACCGGCCACTGGAAAATGACTACACATCAAGAAAGTGGAGTAAAGCTGAAGTGTTGGTAAGAGCTGAGGGGTTAATACAATCACACACACATGCACACAAAACAGTGATGGGGTTAGGATGCTTCTTGTGCTTCTATGCCTGTTAGGATCATCAATAAAGTGTCCTAAGTTTGGACAGAGCCATAAACAGGCACCTGAAAGACAAAACAATGTCTTGTGTATAGAAGTAAAGTGTGTTAGCTCAGCAGGGAAGTATTACGAGTCCCACAAAACTGGCCTGAGTGCAGCCATGGCTAGAGAGAGATCTCCTACAGATGGAGTCCACTGAAGTATTTACCACCTGTCCTCCCCACATGCTACAGCCAGGAAAATCAGCAGTAACACTGCCGGCTGCCTTTGGTGACCTCCTCAGAGGAGTGGACAGTATTGGGAACAAATCCACTCTTGACGCCCTCCCAGCCGTCCTGGATCTTGATGTCCCCGCTCCGCACAAGGTCAAAGATGTCCCGTGTCAAATCCACAAAGGCCTGAAGTACATACCAGAAAATCAGAACTGGTGGACTCATAATTATGTAAATTAATGAATAATTTAATTAATTAATTAATTGATTCTATTAGACACTTAATTGTTAAAATCAAGTTTGACGCAAAAAGTGTTTTTTCTTCAAACCTTCTCCACGTTGATAGCGTCTCGTGCTGATGTTTCCACGTAGCGCATCCTGTAGGCCCCCGCCAGCTTCTCTGCCTCCTGCTGGGTCACCTGACGTTGGGCCTCCAGGTCGCACTTGTGACCGACCAGCAGGAATACAATGCTGTGCGGCTGGACGTGGCTCTGGGCCTCCTCCAACCAGTTATGGACGTTCTGGAAGGATCTGCGATTTGTGATGTCAAAGAGTAAGAGCCCGCCCACCGAATTGCGGTAGTAAGCTCTGGTGATCGACCTGGATAGATAGATAGATAGATAGATAGATAGATAGATAGATAGATAGATAGATAGATAGATAGATAGATAGATAGATAGATAGATAGATAGATAGATAGATAGATAGATAGATAGATAGATAGATAGATAGATAGATAGATAGATAGATAGATAGATAGATAGATAGATAGATAGATAGATAGATAGATAGATAGATAGATAGATAGATAGATAGCACATTTATTCCTACTCAACTGTACTTTCATTTATAAAAAAGACTAAATAATTTCCAAAATCAGCCGGGCCCTGTAGTTTTTAGGAAATGTTATTCAAACAGGAGTAAATGATGTACTTGTCAGGGACTATTTTCAGCTACTGAGTTGGTGCTCTAGTGGATATTTACAGCAGTAAACCAGTGCACTTGACTTGAAATAAACTACAGTGCCCATGTTCATTATAATGAAGAACAGAGTGATAGATTATAGATTTGTAAAAAATCACACTTGAATAAATAAATCAAAGAGCAGTGGAAGCAGTGTGAGTTTTGCTGATAGCTCATAATGCCATTTTGTGAGAGCTCTATCTTTACCTGAACCTCTCCTGTCCTGCAGTGTCCCAGATCTGAAGTTTGATTCTTTTGCCCGGCTCTATTTCCACCAGACGGGAGAAGAAGTCCACCCCCACGGTGGGGTCTGACACCTGGGCGAAGCGGCCCTCAGTGAACCTCCGGATCAGACACGACTTGCCGACTGTGGAGTCTCCGATGACAATCAGGCGAAACTGATAAAGCCATATCGTCTCCATGTCTCATGAAAATAAAATCTTTGGCATAACAGAATGAATCACTCAGTCACTGTCATCCATATAAGGGCTTCAAATGTTTTGTCCAACCCGCAGTTCAAAACCCAAAGATATTTACGTTATTGATATATGACAAAAAAGCATCAAATGCTCACAATGAAAGGTTGGAACCAGCAGAAAAATAAGTAAATCAGAAGAAAATGATTTAAAAGTCAAGTAAAATGGTCTTTACGCTATATGAAATCTAAACATGGTCATAACCCTTAGAAGTCTATTGTAAATGTGAAAAAATATGTTTCATTTGTAGAGCTTTTTTCCACACATGGAATAGCAGAAAATGTGTCTATATTATGTAAAATATTAACATGATGTATTGGGTCACACATTAAAACATTATTATATCAAAGAAAATAAGAGAAAATAGCAATTAATGGTACAGCATCTAGGATTCAACCCATTTTAAAGCTTCTACTAACAGTAGAACAAACAATAAAATCACACTCCCCTGTTCAGATACAGAGCATGTGTTTAAATAGATTCATGGATCAGATGAAACACAAATGTGCAATTAATCTACAGACTGTGTTGACCACATGTCTTAGACTGTCATGAGGAGAGAATAATAGGCTCAAATCATCTCAGTGTCTACATTTTCAGTGGGGTGATTTAATTTGAGGGGAAGGAGGGAGGGGGAGGCCACTCCTCTCCAACTCAATAAACATTGGCGTAATCATCCCCCATGTGGCTAGTAGACTGGTTGTTATACAGCAATAATACACAGTGAGGCCTTGAAGCTGACCAAAAATGAGCTTAGTGAGCAGATAGCTGCTAAACATGAACGCTGCTACTTGATATGAGATATTTGCTACTGATTTCTTGAAGGCCTCCAGTGACAGCCATAACAAGATCCCACCAACTTTACAACAAATAGTGAGGCCCAGCCCTTTTATTCTAATGCCAGTTATGAGCCTTCTTTACTTTAATAATTAACATTCAGGATAGCAATTAAGTAAAATCAATAGATGACGACCTACCTTGAAGTTAAGAGTTCAGTATCTGTAAAAAATAAACCCCATGTCGATGATTATGTCTTCCAAAAATGATGCTCCAGACTAGCAGTGGTGGTGTTGTTGCTCACAGAAATAGCCCTCCAATAACATCATATTATTAAGCAGGGCTTTTCTCTCCCATCACTTTGAGCCGTTTTTAAAAAATAAAAACAGCCTGTTGAGAATTAAAACAGCAGCTGCTGATTAATTTGAACAAGACTACTGATATTTCCGTGATGATCCGCTGATGAAATGGCAGCAGGACACAACAGCAGCATCACACATCTCCTCCTCGCCCTCATCAGCACCATTACCGTAACTGCACACACAGCGGCTCGGCAGAAATCCCCAGGCTGCTGCCTTCAAAGGCTGTAGGAAAAGAAAAAGAAAACCAAAACTGCAGCCCGACTATGAGGTGAGCGCACATGAACGTCATAACTTAATCAACATCGTTCATTTCAACATTTAAGATGACAGACTGCTTATTGCTGCTTAGCCTACTTCTTCTTGCAGGGGTCAACCCAAAAAAAAGTCACACTTGGCTCCATAAGAAATAATAATCTGGAGACGGTGCGCACTCTCATGCCAAGAGCCGCTGTTGCTGTTCGCTCTGAGATTTATTGGATTGTTATTTTTTGTTTGTTGTATGTTGATGTTTGCAATTTACAATTGTTGATGGAAATGACTCAGAAGTTCTCAGAGACCGGCGTGTCTGGACTACACAACAGTTGGCAGCCCTGTTGAGATGTATTAGGCTGTATAATAATTCCTTATTCTTTATCAACAATTAGGGCGATTGTTGCTTACCGCTTATATACCTATTAGCCTATAGGCCTATAGTATTTAAAAAATCAAGATCTAGATTGTATTCACTAAATAAAAGTGGCTGCGTCCGCATACATGGAGTGGACGTGCTGACAAATGCGCAAGCTGACGGTGAGCTCTCATCCTGCATCCCCCATTTTTTATGTCGTTTTTTGACATTTTTATGCCTTAGTAATTATACTATGAAGTTTTTTGAAATTTTTTATGCCTTCCTAAATAATGACGTTTTGCTATAGTGTGATTTTTTTTTACATTGACAGTGTTGCCTTACTATTAGAAGGTTCTGGGTTCAAATCTCAGAACAGGTACCCTTCTCTGTGGAGTTTGCATGTTCTTAATATTATTTTTTTAATACTCACTATACTATGACGTTTTTTTATGCCTTCTCTGCTATAAACCTTTTTTTGTAGATTTTTATGCCTTATTATATACTATGACGTTTTTTGACGCTTTTATGCCTTACTATACTATGACTCTTTTAGGCGTTTTTATGCCTTATTATACCATGACGGTTTTTGACGTTCCTTTTAATTACTAATATGATGTTTTATACCTTATTATAGTATGACTTTTTATGCCTTACTATACTATGACGTTTTTTGACGTTCTTTGACGTTTTTTCTTTTACATTTTTATACCTTACAATACTATGACGTTTTTTGACGTTTTTATGCCTTATTATACTATGACGTTTTTTTGACGTTTTTATGCCTTAGTATACTTTGACGTTTTATGCCTTGCTATACTATGATGTTTTGGGGGGGGGGGGGGGGGTTATGCATTACTATAAAGTGAAGTTTTGACTGGCTTACTAACTACTATGATCATTCTTTTTGAGGTCTTTTATGCCTTACTAAAACTTATAGTGTTTTATGCTTACTAAGTATGATGTTTTATTGCATCTTTTATCCTATGACATTCTTTGACGTTTTTTGACATTTTTATGTCTTACTATACTGTGACATTTTTATGCCTTACTATACTATGACGTTTTTTGACGTTTTTATGCCTTACTATACTATGATGTTTTATGTGTTTTATGCCTTATTAGAGTATGACTTTTTATGCCTTACTATACTATGATATTTTTTGATGTTTTTATAACTTACAATACTATGACGTTTTTTGACGTTTTTATGCCTTATTATACTATGACGTTATTTGACGTTTTTATGCCTTACTATACTATGACGTTTTTTGACGTTTTTATGCCTTACTATACTATGGCGTTTTATGCCATACTATATGTATGACTTTTTATGCCTTACTATACTATGTCGTTTTTTGACGTTTTTATGCCTTACTATGCTATGATGTTTTATGCCTTATTATAGTATGACTTTTTATGCCTTACTATACTATGACATTTTTTGAGGTTTTTATGCCTTACTAAACTATGACGTGTTTATGCCTTACTAAAGTATGATGTTTTATGCATTTTTATCCTATGACATTCTTTGACGTTTTTTGACATTTTTATGTCTTACTATACTGTGACATTTTTATGCCTTACTATACTATGACGTTTTTTGACGTTTTTATGCCTTACTATACTATGATGTTTTATGTGTTTTATGCCTTATTAGAGTATGACTTTTTATGCCTTACTATACTATGATATTTTTTGATGTTTTTATAACTTACAATACTATGACGTTTTTTGACGTTTTTATGCCTTATTATACTATGACGTTTTTTGACGTTTTTATGCCTTAGTATACTTTGACGTTTTATGCCTTACTATAAAGTGAAGTTTGATGCCTTACTATACTATGACATTTTTTGATGTTTTTATGCCTTACTATACTATGCCGTTTTTTGATGTTTTTTGAAGTTTTATGCCTTTCTATACTATGATGTTTTATGCCTTATTATAGTATGACTTTTTATGCCTTACTATACTATGATGTTTTATGCGTTAACATCCGATGACGTTCTTTGACATTTTTATGCCTTACTATACTATGGCGTTTTTTGACGTTATTTGACGTTTTATGCCTTACTATACTATGACATTTTTTGACATTTTTATGCCTTACTATACTATGATGTTTTATGCCTTATTGTACTATGACTTTTTATGCCTTACTATACAATGATGTTTTTTTGACATTTTTTGACATTTTTATGCCTTACTATACTATGATGTTTTATGCCTTATTGTACTATGACTTTTTATGCCTTACTATACTATGATATTTTTTTGACATTTTTTGATGTTTTTATGCCTTACTATACTATGGCGTTTTATGATGTTTTTTGACGTTTTATGCCTTATTATACTATGATGTTTTATGCCTTAACATCTGATGACGTTCGTTGACGTTTTTATGCCTTACTATACTATGACGTTTTTTGAGGTTTTTATGCCTTACTATACTATGGCGTTTTTTGACGTTTTATGCCTTATTATACAATGACGTTTTTGTGCTTTAACATCCGATGACATTGTTTGACGTTTTTATGCCTTACTATAATGACGTTTTTTGACGTTTTTATGCCTTACTATACTATGATGTTTTATGCCTTATTATAGTATGACTTTTTATGCCTTACTGTACTATGACGTTTTTTTGACTTTTTGTACGTTTTTATGCCTTAATATACTGTGACGTTTTTCAACATTTTCATGCCTTACTATACTATGACGTTTTTTGATGTTTTTATGCCTTACTATACTGTGACGTTTTTTGACGTTTTCATGCCTTACTATACTATGATGTTTATGCCTTATTATAATATGACTTTTTATGCCTTACTATACTATGACGTTTTTTTTACATTTTTTGACTTTTTTATGCCTTAATATACTCTGACGTTTTTCAGCATTTTTATGCCTTACTATACTATGACATTTTTTGACGTTTTTATGCCTTACTATATACTATGGCGTTTTTTGACGTTTTATGACGTTTTTATGTCTTATTATACTATGACATTTTATGCCTTATCATCCGATGACGTTCTTTGACGTTTTTATGCCTTACTATACTATGATGTTTTATGCCTTATTATACTATGACGTTTTTTGACATTTTTATGCCTTACTATACTATGATGTTTTATGCCTTAATATCCGATGACGTTTTTTTACGTTTTCATGCCTTACTATACTATCATGTTTTTTGACGTTTTTATGCCTTACTATACTATGATGTTTTATGCCTTAATATCCGATGACGTTTTTTTACGTTTTCATGCCTTACTATACTATCATGTTTTTTGACGTTTTTATGCCTTACTATACTATGACGTTTTATGCCTTATTATACTATGACGTTTTATGCCTTAATATCCAATGACGTTTTTTGACGTTTTTATGCTTTACTATACTATGATGTTTTATGCCTTGTTATAGTGTGACTTTTTATGCCTTACTATACTATGACGTTTTATGCCTTAATATCCAATGACGTTTTTTGACGTTTTTATGCTTTACTATACTATGATGTTTTATGCCTTGTTATAGTGTGACTTTTTATGCCTTACTATACTACAACGTTTTTCGACGTTTGTTTGACGTTTGTTTGACGTTTTTATGACTTTCTATACTATGACGTTTTGTGACATTTTAATGCCTTACTATACTATGGCGTTTTTGACGTTTTTTGACTTTTTTACACCTTGTTAAACAATGATGTTTTATGCCTTATTATAGTGTGACTTTTTATGCCTTACTATACTATGACGTTTTTTGATGTTTTTATGCCTTACTATATTATGACGTTTTTTGACGTTTTTTGACTTTTTTACACCTTGTTAAACAATGATGTTTTATGCCTTATTATAGTGTGACTTTTTATGCCTTACTGTACTATGACATTTTTTGACGTTTTCATGCCTTACTATACTATGGCGTTTTTTGACGTTTTTATGCCTTACTATACTATGACATTTTGTGCCTTATTATACTATGACGTTTTATGCCTTAATATCTGATGACGTTTTTTGACGTTTTTATTCCTTACTATACTATGGCGTTTTTTGATGTTTTTATACCTCACTATACTATGACGTTTTATGCTTTATTATACTATGGCGTTTTATGCCTTAATATCCGATTACGTTTTTTGACGTTTTTATGCCTTACAATACTATGGCGTTTTTTGACATTTTTATGCCTTACTATACTATGATGTTTTATGCCTCATTATAGTGTGACTTTTTATGCCTTACTATACTACAACGTTTTTTGATGTTTGTTTGACATTTTTTGACGTTTTTATGACTTTCTATACTATGACGTTTTTTGACATTTTTATGCCTCACTATACTATAACATTTTTTGACATTTTTTTGACGTTTTTTGACGTTTTTATGACTTACTATACTATGATGTTCATTGACCTTTTTATGCCTTACTATACTATGGTGTTTTTGACGTTTTTTGACTTTTTTAAACCTTGTTAAACAATGATGTTTTATGC